GGTGTGGGAACTCCCCTAAACATAAACATTTAGTCTTTATTTTATACTGCATATGTAATACTAAAGAAGCATTTGTTGATTAATACAAATTAATGTATAAATATATGCAAATTAGCTCTTTATTTGTGTGTTTTGCATGTACAMATTGTATTAATAAGATTAGAGAAAACAGGTAAAACTGTAGGGTTCACCCCCACGCTTCTTATTACGAGGTTATAAGGAATATATTTTAGCAAGGATCACTTTATTTTCGGTAATATCTTCATACAAAAATGAATGGACAAAACACAATAAGATGAGYGTACTCAGTGARTTWAAGTTGAYCAAAAATAAACAAGATCATTTATTTATTCACAGAATCAAATAAATCACTAATGTWYAGCTTATTGTGAGATTAATTTCCTATAAAAWGTTTAACAACAAACTTTGAGSTTTAGATGTTAATAAACCATTTGTTTGTGGCACTTTTTCTTCAGTTTAGGCAGGGCATAAGTTTAATATGGAAGAAAGGAGGATGAAGTTAGTCAGTTTAACTTTAACCTTTAAAGAATGTGGATTTTAACCAGAAAGGGYGGACGTCTCTCAGCGAATCCAGCCAGACCTCAGGTACTCTTAGGAACGGTCAGCCATTACCTTGACCGGGGACCACCACAGCTCAGGTCGGAGGAAAGGTCGTCCAACGGGTGAAGAACTTCTTGGAACTTCGTCGGTCGGACAGGACACTTTCAAGACGTTTCACGTTACTCCTTCTGCCTTTTCTCTGGGCTGCTTTGCTCGAAGATAAGAGGTGAAGCACTTTTGGTATCCGTCTCGAAAATAGAAAAAGTTTCAAAACAAAAGTTCCTCTGTGAGTAACTTTGGTTTAAGCTCAAAATAGACAAGACTTTTGGTCTGTCCAGGCTGGTTCTCCCCGGGTGGTGTTGTCAAAAACAAAATTGTTGATGTCTGCACATGTTGTACAGTCTGTTCTGACCTGCTCTCTCCTGACAGCACTTTAAAGAAAAAAGAAAGATTTACTGAAACCTTAAAAATGAATTATTTCATACAGAACATTCATTATAATGATTCAGATAAAAATAATTATAAAACGTTTAAAATAAAGCTTAACTATAATGCAAAGTTTAGTTAAGTAAAATATTAAACTTAAAAATCTAGAATCAATTACTGTGGTTTCACAGTTAAAGTTCAAGCAGTGATTTAC